AAGTATCATTAACAATTAAATTCTATATATTAATATGTAGCATAGTATATCAGCTTCAGAGGCACTTTTTCTCCCTGCAGTCTTCCTGCAGCAACTCTTGTATCCTGTAAATGTCTTTGGCCCAACTGAAAGGGATGAGTTTCATTTTGGCATTCTGTCTGACTGAAGAACAATGATGCTGTTATACTGTCGTTTAAAGCAAGCGATCCAACCACTTTTTAGAACAGGAAACCAAGAGAATCAGTGAAGTCTCACACTGGGAATCCAGCCTTAATAAGACATGTCGAGGGGAGCTAGCTGGAATGAAGGCCTAAATCAGTGTGGGAGAAAACCAGCGTGCTTTAAAATGCCAGCAGTCAAAAAGGTCACACCTCATATAGTCACCATTTATATAGTTAAGAATGTCAACTTAGACTGATGATTTCAAAACAGCTTAGCTTTATTTTATTGCATTTTTTCCCCTTTATATTTTATTCTAACAAATCAAGCAAAAAAGCATCGACTAAAGGGAAGGAATGGATTTTGACCTTTTAATCAACTAGCAATGAATCGAATTTGTCTTGATATGGATTATTTCACTGTAGATAGATGTTATTTTGTTGTACTTGGGTGTTATTCTACTGTACATAGATATTATTTTACAGTATATAGCTGTTCCTTTAGTGTATTTAGATGTATGCCATGTTTCTCTTGAGTATTTGACTTGCTTTTTCTAAGTGGTGCCATATTTTCCCCCCAGGCTATGGACCTGTACTACCACAATGAGTCAGACCCAGACAGCTACTGTTGCCCTGGTGACAACAGTAAGTAACCAACAACTAAGCCTGTTGTTTTGTATTCTTCCATTTCCTGCCTCCTCCTTCTTTCCCTCTGCTTTCCTACTCTGACTCCACATCACAAACTCGTATTCCTCTGTTGTTTCTTTCCACCATCCCACTCCAGCAGTCCCAGCTCATTTCTCTTTATTGTCGCCAGTGACGTTTATTTTTTTCTGTAAGTCCAAAGTAATCTTCATTTTGCTCTACTTGTTTGTTGTTGCGTCTTAGTCCAAACCTAATGAGGTTGTGACTTCACCTTACCTCACCACTTTGCCCTCTGATCCACCCTCTAAACCCCTGGGATAATAACTGTTGTTCAGAAACCAAGATTACTTATTTGTTTTGTGGAAACTTGCAAAGCAGTAGTTACAGAGGCAATCCTCAGGACCGATCATTATGCACACAATGCAGTGACCTTTTCTGTTTACAACCTCTCGGGCGCTTGTTGCTTACATGTGTACAGTTGGGTGAAAGTCTACCTTGGTTTATGGCCAAAATGACAGTAAGTGACTGTACTTTAATTTTCCATCATGCTTCACAGTTGTGCCACAAATCAAGCTCCAGTACAAAGTGCATAGGCTGTATGCGTGACATGTTTTGGCACACACTGCCTATCTTCTTTCAGTGGCTGTCAATTAACACAATAGCCAAAGCATAGGCTCCACCAAGTATGTCCGTGTGTGTCTCTGTGTGTGCGTTCCCACGAACCACTTTCCTCCCTCTTTGCAAATTCAGTTTATTAATTCTAAGTAATAAATATCAGATGAAAGGCAACATTTAGCATTTCCTGCTTTGCGCTGGAATTATACAGAATCTTTAGGAGCTATTTGTTTCCAATTAAATTATTTGCTTGTACTATCATTAACTGTGTAGAAAGCGCAATTTTAAGTAATACGTAAATGTCACTTAGTGCTATAAGGAACCATAAGAAGAACCATATTGCATTTAAATACCAGTGTTATATGACTGTTACTATATTGTTGTTTATTATTACTGCAGAAATAAGCTTTTAATGGCTAAGGTTGAGCTCATTTGAACAATTTTTTGTATATCTCGTCTAACATTCACAAAAACACACTGATGAATGCATCAGGGGCAGCTCAAGGCTCTGTTTCTTTGGGCTGTATCCTTGCTTGACTTTGACTTGTTGGAGCAGCTAAGATTTGAACCAGTGACCTTCCAGTGATTAGACGACAATCAAAGTGCATCATTTGCAAAAAGCTTATCATATAAACTTTATCTATACAGAAATGTTCTCATTCATAAGCATTTGTAGTGCCCAAAATATTTAGAACAAATATTTTTGTTCTAAGAAGTAAAGGTGCAGTACAATGGCGTGTACTACTCCCTACACAAATCTGACTTTTGTCATCTGAGGACCTGTTAGAGGTCTGTTTCTTCTTGTCCAATTGCTCATTGATGCAGCTTATCTTTCTGCTGTGGTTTGAGGCAGTTGGGCTGCTCTGTGAAGGGAGTAGTACACACTCTGGTATTGAGATTTTAGGTTGCTTTGCATTGGAGTAACCAACAACTTTGGAGTTTTAGAAAAATGACAAGCCATTTTGAAAGTGTTCTCAAATGTGTGGAGGCTGATGAACCAGACACTTAACTAGAGTTATGCTCACATAGTTTAAAAAAGGGTTTTCAAATGATCAGTTAACAATTAATATGATAAATTTGCAATCGATAACAGCGGTGTGATAGTTGCTTATCAAGGCCTGTACAAAACCTCGTAAAATTCAGTGCTTTTATAGCAAAAAAAATATATTTTCCTTTACAAGAGAAAGGTATTTCATAGTCGGCAAAACATTTTAAATCTGAAGTTTAAGTGCCTGTTTGAGCTTAAGCACAGTCCTGAAGTAAACTTGCATTCTGTACTACTGCAGCAACTGTGCTGCAGATCTGCAGGTAAGAAATGTGACACGAACCGTATTCTGATTTTTTTTTTTTTTTTTTGGCTGGCAGTAGTGTGCCTGTTAATAATGGGAGTTTTCAGCGGATGGATAGAAATCCAAGCAATTAGCGGAGATGGTGACAAGCTGTTCCTGTGGCCTCCGCTGTCATGCTGCTACATCCTGTCGATCCACATTGAGCAATTAGTGGCTTTTGGAGTACTTAGAAGTTGAGGACCGTCACATATGAGTCGTTTACAGTGATGCACCGATGTATGTGACACATGAAGCGGTGCAGAGAGACAAAGACTGAGGGATTGATCCAGTAATAATAATAATTATAGGGAGCAGGGATCTGACTGGCTAATTTTTTACAGAGGAAACCATGCCTGTGTTATTTTTTTACTCCTCTCAATAAGGGCAGTCTTATGTAACCAACACTACTTGCAAAAGAAACCCTTACTGGAAACACAAATATGCTAGTGCTATAAATCAGCATGTACACATTGACTTATGGTGCTTTTCCCTGTGGCAGCAGGTTTATATAACATGTTAATTGCTAAGCCTGGATTTGAGTGTGTGCATGCGGGGGTGCGTGTTCTCAAATTTTCCTTTTGTTCTGATGTACAATATTATCAAAAGGTCTGTTTTAAAGCTATTATTTACTCTTTTTTCCCTGCGTGTATGACGCATCATTTACCTGTGTCAACCTGCCTTTCAGCGCTTAACAGACAAACATGCTGCTCACGCCTACACACAGCACGCACATATTTGCAAATACAACACAAATATATGCATATAATTCATAATATAATATATAATTCCATAATAACACTGCAAATCCAAAGTGATATCACAGGACTGAGAAGAAAGTCTGAACACATTAATTTGTATTACACCTTAAAAATTTATAATAAGACCTTTAATAGAAATATATATAGGTCGAGATTAGCTTGCTCCACTTTTATCAGCTAAGCTACTAATCACAGATAAAAATAAAAATGTAACAGTGATGTAACAGTTTTCTAGTAAAACGCTATGCCATCTCTGACACTATCATGAGTGTCTTCCTGGAGTTACATAAACATTTCAAGGAAATGGGAATTTTTGGTGATTGAGTAACATGCCATTTTACTTCAAGGAAGTGATTAGGAAACTTCAGGGCCAAACATATACGCCTCAAATGCCACAGGTGACCCAGCGGACATGTCCATCAAAACAAAGATCAAACCGGGAAGCAAAGGATGACGTATCGATATTGATAGTCAAGCGGGCCATCTGACAGTCCTCCATGTCCAAAATAAAAGCCTAGCTGTCCTCTGTGAACAGCCGAGGACTTTATATAACAGTGTCATTTGGTTCCTCATCGCCAAGGCTCATTCACATTCATCACCAGATCAGCTTTACTCACAAGCACCCTCACCATCCTCGACACACAAAGAGTGGACATTAGGACATGGACGGATGAGAGGCTGAAAGAGATGAGCGTATTTAATAAATGGATGCCAGATGCCGGAAACAGGATGAAAATGGGCATATGCCGGTCTTTGTGTATGTGTGGCTATGCTAAAGGTGGGTGGGATGAGGCAGTAGGATTGTGTTTCCATGTATACTACAACTCTAATATCCTGCACCAAGTCAACCCCATCCTGTCCTTTCATGGCTCACAGGGTCTCTGTGTGAGTCAGTTATTTCTTTGGCATTGATGGCAGTGCCACTCACGGGTTACATAACATACTAGTATCTCACACACATAGGCAGCAAACACACAGCGTGAGTATTGTGGGAGCCTCCTCTTGTTCAGGCCTGAGCTTGGAGCAGCCTGCGAATCCTGAGGCGAAAGCAGGCCAGATAGGAAAAACACTGAGAGAACCTTTGTTACAGCCGCTCCCTCGCTCCAATTTCTTCCTCTCTTCTGATCTTCGCTCAACACTTTGCTCTCATTTCATTGGACTCTTGGCTATGACCAAACAAGTGCAGAGTGAAGATCAATGCTTACACCCTGACGAAGGTAAGGCAGCGTCTTCTTCTTCGTCTTCATCGTCATCTTTTTAAATCTTCTCCCTCAGTGCAGGAATGGCTATATTTTCAGCCATTCCTCTGAGGACAAAATGCAAGTCATTCTGCTAAAGACTAATTTTTCAAGTTCAGCACTACAGTAGCTCTCTCTTGGTATGTCATTTTCCTGTCATCTTGCTATTTTTTGAAGGAAGAAATATTAGATGCTTCAACTTGTGTGGCATTTCTGAATTTTCCAAATGTTGATAAAAGATGTCAGTTTTAATCCCACGCGGAGTGTTGCTGAAGTGTCACGCAGAATCGTAGATTAAATGCCCGTTGAAGGATGTCACTACCGCACGGCACCTTGCACTGCCTCAGTAATAAATATCTTTCACTCAGTTCTTGGTGGTGCAGTGAGGACGGGCATGTGGAGCAAATTTAGGATGTGCTTCCAAGTACTCTTGTGCCCTTTCTCCCTTTTTTAGAAAGTGTACTGTGTGGGTCTCTCTTCAGGCTTGTGGGTGCTTGCATGTCCTTTCAGACTCCCTGCAGGTTTGTTTTGCCCTCCAGCTCAGCGTTATGTGTATGTGTGAGTGTGTGAATCAGGTGGCTGTGGTGGGCAGATTAATAATAGATTTTGCCCTGACTTAAGGGAGAAGAAGAGACAGCAGTAAAAAGTTGAGGCTGTATTTAAAAAACTGCAGAGTCACCCATGGAAACAACCTGACTCTGCACAATTCTCATCTTTGAGTGTGAGACTAGAAAGTTCGATTCAGAACACCAAGACTGGCAGGGTAGTTTTATAAGTGCCCGTGAGCAAAACTACAGTGTGCAGATTCCTAATAGCCAACATATCAATCAGACTCTGGGGGAAATAATTATTTGATCCCCTGCTGAATTTGAGTTTGCTCACGTACAAAGATGTGAACAGTCTTTAATTTTTATGGAAGTTTCATTTTAATGGAGAGAGAAAGAACGTCAACTAAAAATCCAGATATAAAAAACACATTACATAAAAGTTATAAACTGCTTTGCAAACTACACGGGAGGAGCTTTGTTAATGATCTGAAGGCAGATGGGACCACAGTCACCAAGGACACGAGTGGTAACACGCTACGATGTAATAGAAGCATATGTACAGACCCTTAAGTTTGCCACTGAACGTCTAAATGATTCAGAGAGGCAAGGAAGAAAGTGTGGTCAGATGAAACCAAAATGGAGCTCTTTGGCATCAACTCAACCTGCTATGTCAGAAATGCTGAGCATGTCCCAAAGAACATCTCCACAGAACATCTCCACAGTCAAGCATGGAGGTGGAGACATTATGCTTTGGGCTGTTTTTCTGCTAAGGGTACAGGACGACTTCTTGGCACTGAGGGTCCATGCACCATCAAATCTTGGCAGAGAACCTCCTTCCCTTAGAGAGAACACTGAAGGTGGATTTTCCAACATGACAATTGAAACTGAAAGCTTTTATAGAGTTTCTGTAAAGAGGAGTGGTCCAAAATCCCCCCTAGTGACGTGTGCAAACCTGGTGTGCAACCACAAGAAACATCTTACAGCTGCGCTTGCCAACAAGTGTTTCTCCAACAAGTACAGAGTTGTCATGCCATAACATGCAAAGGAATTTATAACTTTTATGTAATCTGTTTTTAACCGACTATATAAATGTTGATGCTTGCAGCTGATCAAAAAAGAGAAAACGGCTTCTCAGAATAGACCAAGGCTAAATAATTTCATGAAAAGCAGACATATTCAGGCTCCAAGGTTTAGCTCATTAATCGATAAGAACTCGGCATTGCTCCTCTTGCTCCTGACACAGGTGTGCCAAGGCACTGTTAATAAATACCCACAAAAAATTAAGATAAAAATAACATAAACTGCATTGCACAACTTTTTTTTTGAAAAAGGCGCAGTTTACGTCAGAGTTCGTGCAGAACTGCAATAAATGATCACTGCCTTGTCATTTTTATCCTCACCTCCCCTGCTTCCTTTCACTTATCACTGAGATGCCTTATCTCACTCACTCCCAAAGACTCCCAAAGAAAAAGAAAAATGGGAAAATTCATGAAAGACACTACCGTAAGAACATATCAGGTAGATAAAAGTACTCAGGATAATGAGAAAGCATTTCATCAATAGACAGGTTAATTAAAGGCCCAAACACTGGCAACGGCCAACTTGCCAACTCTGTGAATTTCTGCATCTTTTTAAATTCTGAGCGCAGCGTGTGAACCTCAGGTGGCTGGTGGAAAAACACTGGATATGAAAATGAACTTTTTTTTTTTTTAAAGGGGGAAATGTTATTCTTCTTCTACACTTAGCCTTTAACTATAACCCAGCTTCGTAATGCTGTCACAGGGAAGTACAATCCCAAGTATACAATACAGATGGATGATGAGGATTATTAGCTCATACTTAATATTAGCCTTACCCTTAAATCCATATCAATGTAGGGTGGAAATAAACATGTGCATTTTTTTGTGTGGACACTTTTATTCATCCATTTATCCTTTTCCACTTATCATCAGGATCACGGGGTATTTTTAAATTAAAGTTCAAAGTTTAAACGCTTAACTCAAAACTCGAGCAAACTCAAGGGGAGCATTTGAAGGCAGCAAAACCCCCGCCCTCGAGAAAAGTCATGCAACCATGCAACGAAACACAAAACTTGGAGAGTGGAAGGAAATAGAGGCGGGACGTCTCCGCCCTTTTAAAGAAAGAAGAAAAAAAAATGCTGGATGAAAGTCTTCAAGAAAAGGAATGCGGTGTAGTTCGATTACCTCCCTGCCGAGGAGCCAAACCTTTGTTCTAGTAGTGATTGGGATATAGAAGCATCCACATGAAAGACAAAACGACATCTCTGACGTGTAAGTACGCTCAGTATACTTTTGAAAACACCGGCAATCGTTTTACAAAGAAAGAAAGAAAAAAAATCGCTGTTGTATTTGGATCGTACACTTGTAGGAAACTACAAATCCGCAGTGTTTTTTTTATATACACTTACGGCGCAGGTATGCGTATTTTAATAGTTAACTAATGCAAAGCAAGCGCTTCTAACACAGTTTGTGCATGTCTGTGTGTGTCAGTGTGTCCTGCGAAGAAAACACAGGCACACATACTTGGTGTATGTGGGGTGGGGTGGGGGGGCTCCCATTCATCCCATAATCCCATGACCTGGATTTATGATGCTCATATCTATTTAATTGTCTTGCTGATAGAGAGTCTCTTTAAAAGCGCAGGTGAGAGCTTGGTAAGTCTCTCTTGCAACTTGTTGAGCTCCGGTGATGCTGCAGGTAGACAAAATGAAAACTTCCGAGCTGAAAGGTTTGTTTTCTGTGGAAACTTATTGCAGTGCAGTTTTTTTCTTTTGATATTAACTACGGAATTGAGATCTTTTAAAAATGCATTTTGCTTGTGTTTCAAAAATTGTGCGGCGACACTTTGGTACTTAGAGTGCGTTTGTCTCCGTTCTCCTTACGCACAGTGATCGGCGTCTCGATTAAGTGCTTTTGGCCTTCACATGAGATATCATCTTACGCACATTCCACGGAGGGGTGTAGATAGAACTTGAACCAGGTGCCTTACATAACCGTGTATAACTGAGCCCGTCTGCTCTTCAAGTGTGCCAGCGCAGAAAACTAATCATTTTCTGCATTGTTACACACATTTTTTCATCCCTCATATTCTAATACTTTGCTTTTTTCTTACTGTTAAGTTAAAAACACACTGTTTCGTCTCTGTTTTACTTTGGACTGACTGTGTGCAGGAGTTTCACTCTGTACTTTTCCACTACCAGTGGCTTTTCTTGGCATCTGGCCTCCCTCGGCTCAGGCTCTCCCTCTTGTCCTTTGTGTGCCGGGACAGCCTGCGTCACTCCCGACGGTTTTAAAAGAGGAACAGCCAAAAATTGAACTTGATAGTCCTCGTGACGAGACTATCAAATTATTTGTACTGAACCTTACTGTACACTCAGCGCGAATACACATGGTGCAGGAATGACAGAAATAAACAGGGACTTGTGGAACAGTCACGAATGTCTCGATCAGTTCTGTTTTAGTGTGCACTCATTTGTAAGACAAAGTCCATCCTGTATGCCTGAAACACTAAGTGGCACCATATGTTAGGCTGTTTACTGGATACATCTGGATTTCATTTGCCCATAGGGTTTGTGTTTGCAGTTTTTGTGTGTGTAGATTGAAAATGTGTTTATTTCGTGGTCGGTTCAGACTGGCTGACTCTCGCCTTACTCTCGGGGGTGTTAAAGTTGGAATGGTATTGCACAAACTTATGTGCAAATACCATTCCAACTTTACAGTGAGTACAGTAGTAATCACATCTTTTTTTCTGCCTTTTGTCCATGTTTTTGACGCAAGCACGGCTGATGTGCGGCCATGACGCGTTGGGAGCGCAATGACCGCTGATTTGTCGAAAAACGGGATCGATCGCCTTCTCTTGGTTCACTTACCAAAGCTAAATGTTTACCAAGGATCACGCCCACCCGGGAGGTGGAGTAGGGGGTATGGAGTGTTGTGGCGTATGGGGTGGAGAGAGACAGCTCCTCCCTCTTCGTAGCCCTATATAAAGCGAGTGCCAGGGCTAGATGGTTATAGTTTGGTTTTTGGCAGTCTGGAATCGCGGAGCTGCTTTTTAACTCATCATGACGGTCATAACAGAAACGCAAGAGCCTGTGCTGACTTACTCGAAGTCTAGAGGGCTAGTGGCATTAGTCACGGGTATGGATAACAACAAGATTTTAATTTATGATGATGATGATGATTAGTGGAATCTCTATGTTGCTTTTTTCCTTTTTAGTCCAGTGTAAATAATCTTTCCATCCGTCTTCTTTTTTCCATTGTTTTGCAGCTTTTATGAAACAAAGGAGGATGGGTCTGAACGACTTCATTCAGAGGCTAGCCACAAACTCCTACGCCTGCAAGCAGTAAGTATCAACTCACATCTGACTCATATTATTGTTCTGCGCTCAGAGTGGAGATTGAAACATTGGGAAACCCAACCAAACATTCTAGTTATACTGCACTGAAGAAATATTTGATGTGTGGAATGATGTTAGTTTTTTCATATTAGTGCAAATCTTTGGTCATTTGTGTGGAGATGAACTAAGTTTGAACTCGGTGTGGTTGTTGTTGTTTTTCAGTTCCGAGGTTCAGTCCATCCTGAACTTGAGTCCTCCTCAGGATCCTGAGCTCATGAACACAAACCCCTCTCCTCCTGTAAGTAAAATCAATTGTGCAATATACGGGCATATCCTCTGTTTTCATGCTTATCATACATGTTATGGCTCCAACTTTTTTTAATCATCTCTGTCCTTCCCTCACAGCCCAGTCCATCCCAACAGATCAACCTCGGCCCATCATCCAATCCTTCGGCCAAGCCCAGCGACTTCCACTTCCTCAAGGTTATCGGCAAGGGTAGCTTCGGAAAGGTTTTGCTTGCACGCCATCGCACGGATGACAACTTCTACGCTGTGAAAGTCTTACAGAAGAAGGCCATTCTCAAGAAGAAGGAGGTATGTGTGCTTGCAGACATGTTTTTGAATTTGAACTCGTACACACAAATTGCAAGCATACCAGGCAAGGTGTGTTCATGTCAACCCCCCTAACCACCTCTCTTTGTTTCAATCAGGAAAAACACATTATGTCAGAGAGGAATGTGCTGTTGAAGAATGTCAAGCACCCGTTCTTGGTGGGCCTGCACTATTCTTTCCAAACAGCGGACAAACTGTACTTCATCTTGGACTACATCAATGGCGGAGAAGTGAGTTACTAGCTCAACTGCTGACACGTAGAAAGATGGACAGTCTGATCTATTTAATGCTGGAATTAAGGTCGAATAAATTAGAGGATAACTTTGAGATAGAGGAAGAAACGAAAGGGAACAGAGGCACCAGACGTGACCTGTAAACTGAGGAGGAGTTTAAAGGAATAGTAATGCCTTTCCAGATCAGAAACAAAGATGAGACAGAGCAGAGACAGACAGAGGGGATATCCTGTCATGAGAAGAAGAATAGAAGCTGCTGCTCTCTGTTTTTTTTTTTTTCTTTTAAACTAAAGGAAACACCTCTCAGGAAATCATCGAGGAGGGGGGGGGGTTGGGACAGCAGAAAAAATTGTGGGCCAAAAATAGCAGCGCCATTCAGACTTGGTGTGCCTCTAATCGAGCTAATTTCCTGTGATTGTTGGACGAGCAAAGACAGTGCTGATTAAATATGGGCCTCATCAGGAAGCAGGATGCATTTACTCTCTTTTTCTCCTTTCTCTCTTTTTCCCTCCATCCTGCCGGTCTCTCACTCCACCTTTGGTCCTCAATTCATCTGTCTTCTCTTGTCAAACTTTTTAAGCTGTCGCCATCCTGCCTCTTAATTTCCTCCCATCCGGTTTCCTTTCTGTCTCTGTCTTTTTTCATCCATTAATTTCCTACCCCTACTTATATATATAATTCTAACAGTGTAATCAAGTTTAGTTATCAGGAACAAAACTGCTCTCTGCACTTGTTTCAAAGACACTTCTTTCTGTTTCCCTCTATGTTCCAGTTGTTCTACCACCTGCAGAGAGAGCGCTGCTTCCTCGAGCCCAGAGCCAGGTTCTATGCAGCAGAGATCGCCAGCGCACTGGGATACCTGCACTCACTAAACATTGTCTACAGAGACCTGAAACCAGAAAACATCCTGCTGGACTCCCAAGGACACATCATTCTCACAGATTTTGGACTCTGCAAAGAGAACATTGAACCCAATGGGACAACATCAACTTTCTGCGGTACTCCAGAGGTAAGGAGAAGCTGTTCAGTGTGGCTCTGCTGTTAAGGTTTTCTCACAGTTGTCTGTAATAGCTGACCGTTTTAACTTACCATTTCTTATCATCTTTTGGTTTTTTTCTCCCTCTGCAGTATTTGGCTCCTGAGGTGTTGCACAAGCAGCCGTATGACAGGACAGTAGACTGGTGGTGTTTAGGAGCTGTTCTCTATGAGATGCTGTATGGCCTGGTGAGTACTTCTAATCATATTACATTACTTTAAATTGGAATAAAATTAGATATTTACTGTTGTCTTATTTGGAACACTGAAAATATTACAGGCATTTATGCTAATTTGCTCTTTTATTCTGCCACCAGCCTCCGTTCTACAGCCGCAACACAGCAGAGATGTACGACAACATCCTGAACAAGCCACTGCAGCTGAAACCCAACATTTCCAACTCAGCTAGACACCTGCTGGAGGGCCTGCTGCAAAAAGACCGGACAAAGAGACTGGGCTGCTCCGACGACTTCGTAAGTCTCCATCTCATTTGATTGTTTACATACCACACGTGGTGACGAGCATCATTTAATTGTTTTATCATTTCTTTTCCAGATTGAAATTAAGAACCACATATTCTTTACCCCCATCAACTGGGATGACCTCAATGCAAAGAAGATCACCCCTCCCTTCAACCCCAATGTGGTATGCTCCCTTTTTTTAATACTCTGTTAAGCCCCGAGAAAGTCAGGTTTATGAATTTTCACTGTACCCGCTCTTAGTATTTACACAACGTAACTAAAGAGCATGAAACATCCTCACTTAATACATTTCCAACTATGGTAAGGTATTTTAAAGGTTGGCTAATTCCTGCTTGTCTCCCTGCTCCTTCCTCTCTCATGCAGACGGGGCCCAATGACCTGCGGCACTTTGATCCGGAGTTCACAGACGAGCCGGTACCCAGCTCCATCGGTTGCTCCCCAGACAGTGCACTCGTCACAGCCAGCATCAAAGAGGCGGCCGAGGCCTTTGTGGGCTTCTCTTATGCCCCATCTATGGACTCCTACCTATAGGATTTAAACACAGGCACTTATCATAGACACTAGTTTAGACTTATTGGGCATGAAACGAGGCATGCCCGTGGACTTGCATCGTGACCCCACTCAATGTTTACCATCAGAATGATGGACATCTCCGAAACCTAACCCCGCGACAACTCTGCATCTACAAAGACTTTAAACATGTGTACTTTGCCACATCCTCTGCAACTCTTGAATGCTTGCCACAAGAGGATGCCCAGTTGGAGTTCTGATCCTCAAGCTTTTACTTTCACTACCTGCAGTCCCCTTTCAGCCTTCAGTTGTTCATCTATTTCCTGATAGTGGAGGTCGTTTGCACACAGGCAGCTTAAAAGCTCCCCTTGATCCCGACGCCACGAGATACAAGCACACGTCCAAGTTCCCACCTTTTTCAAAGAGAGGAAGGCCGGACCAGGCCCAGAGAAGATTTCCATTTTCATCTCTGTAGCGAAAGAACCTTCCCTCTTGAGATTTCTGCTACCACCTGTGAGGACCTTACCTTTTGAGCGCGAATGAGTAGCTTGGAGATGACATTCATTTTGGTGCTTTAGTTTCTTTTCATGTACTTTCCGTGTGTTTTGAAAAGGGAGTTATTTAAAAACCGAATGTTACAGAGAGACAGATGGGGTAATTTAATTTTTCTACAAGGTGCCTTTATATTTTTTTCTCTCCATCAGAACTTACATCATTTGAGTTTGACTGTGTCGACACTAACATCAGAGTTTTATCTGCTCTGCACCTGATTTTTCTTTGGTTTTGTTGAAGTCACTATCGAGGAAAGATGTAGCACTAAGTTAATCCAATTCTTCTGTCTTTAACATGTGACATGTTAGAACTCGAATGATGTTTCACGTCTTCTTTTGCACATAAAACAACAATGCTGATAGATGGAAAGAGAGCGCACTGCTGCTGCTAGGTGGCGACAAGAGGGATGTGTTGTGCAATGTTTTGGGGAGAGCTGCTCGCCGACCGAGTTCCCCCTCATTCCTCCAGTCTTCCACCCGCCACGCAGTAATGTTAACGGCAGCCCGCGGACGGGCTGACACTTTAACTGAACATTCCATTTTAATATTGCTGTAATGCAGTTTGACGGTATTTAAGTTTGTTTGTATATTTGGAGTTCTGTGTACTAGTTTTAATGTATATTCAACAACAAAAAATGACTAAAGGTATGCTTAAATATGTATACAGTATGTAACAATGTTAAATGTACTGTAAATTGTAAAAATTGTTTAAGATTTACGTGACCATGTTTGGTTTGCAATAAAAGTTTAACTTTATTACACCTTACAAATGTGTTATTATTATTGGTAAATGACTTGTGCACAGAAAAGCTTAGCTGATTCCCCTTTGGCTCAAAATGTCTTTGCCTCTACAGAAAATAAGTACTTCAGAGTTAAAGAAAAGCCCAGCATGAAGAAACATTTACTAGTCCTGGTTGGAACACATTTGAACTACTGAATGTCCCACTTTAGGGTAGAATGAACTTTATCCTCCTCCATGCGTCAGCAGCCTTACACAACAGTGACTATGACATTCAGCTGTGTCTGCCTGGGTGTGTGAAGGGTCAAAGTATTTGCTAATAAAGCCAGTACAGGTTAAACAAAAGTCAGTGCACCCATGAGCAATGCTTTGCTTTGAACTAGAAAACAGGCACATAGGTGAGAGGCATTTTGTTCCAGTGCTAATAAACGAATATTAACAAAATAAACTAACAGGTTGGCATGCTGATGAGCTACTATGTCCTTCTGCTAGAGTTCAAGGTTGTGTCAGTACTCAATAACATCCAGGGGATTGTTGTGAAGGTGAACCCTGACCTCCATTTTCCTTTGAGGGGAAGAAAAGGAGAAAGAATTGGCCACCAGAGACAAGTGTTATACTTAAGAAGGAGTACAGATACCTGGGTTAAAAAAAATACTCCAGTAAATGTTGATGTTTTTTTATTCCATTAAAAGTGAAAAAGTACAGGCTCTGAAATGCACTCAAAGAAAGAAAGTTTAAAGTATCTTCTTGAAGGACAATTATACGAGCTATTTCTGTACAAAGTTAACTGAGCCTTGTGCTATATTAATATGTTAGTAAAATAATATTGCTACATGAAAAACCAAGAATTATTCAAATTTAAATTCAAATTCTAATGAATCTGTTATGTGTTAAAATTCCCTTTACTGAACCCTTTACTTCAGCAGGTTGGAAAACCCTAAGATCGGTTGAAGTAGATCAGCATAGGGAAAAGAATTACAGCTCACAATAACTTCTAATGTGAGCTCCAGCAGATTTTCTTTGTGTATATGGCGTGATCAGCTGACCTGCTGTTCTTTGTGGATTTACACAACTGAATTAAGCAAGATGTCAGCAGTTTCACAAGCTATCATGGCTGATGTCCATCCCCTACCCGGACACTATACTGTTTATACTGCCTTTACACCACACGGTATAAAGTAAGAATTCAGCGAATTCATCTAAGCATCATCAGATTATATACAAATTAATCTCTGCTACACTTGCCGTAACCTAAATCTGACTATCAGCACCTCAGCCACTGTGCACCAGTCCAACACAGTGCTTCACTGTGAGTTCACATCAGTACTGCAAACTAACCTGTTTATCTTGCATATAACCACTAAACAGTATTTTCGTGCACCATTTGAGTAACACAACATTAGTGTAGTTTTGTTTGTTTTGCAGGAACGTTTCACAAAACGAAAATGCATAATTAATCAAAACACATCATATATAAATCCATCATGTTATTAAAATTATGAAATCACACGTAAGCCTTAAATTTGCCATTAATCAAGCGTCACTGAGAAGTTCTTATCTTTATATATAAAGTCTCTCCTTTCTGTCTTCCTACATGTTTCTACATCTCTGAGTGAAGTTATCGCGCACTCTTTTCTCTCCCTGTGAAATACAGCAGCTGGACCTTTAGTTACCAACACACCGTGAGGCAGAATGCACACAGACAGTTTGTGTGTTTGCTGATGTTTGTTGAGCTGATAGAAACATCTGAATCTGAAGTGCCACGACCACAACTTATGGACACCTGGACCTCTTCAGGGCCTACTTTAACCCCCGAGTATAAACGCTATAAATGATACCGTTTAACCTAACGTAACAAGCCTGTTAAAGAAGCAGAAGGTACAGATATCTGGTTAAAAATGTAGGAAATAAAAGTAAAAAGTTTTCAGAAAAATAAATACTCAGTTAAAGTGCTGATACATCAAAATTCTACATAAGTACACCTCTGTAAGGGGGCTCAGAAATGTTTCCTGGTTGGTTTGTACCAACAGATTGCCATGTTGGCCTGAAATCTTACATGCACACATTTCAGAACCACATGATGTCTGCCTTTTTGGATGAAGCAGAATTAGACAATCCTGATTTGTCTTTTGCAGGTGCTACTTTCCTAACAGGTTATCACACAAGCACATTTCTCTAAATCCCTTTAATCTCTGTGAAATACTCAGAATTCAATCCCCGTATACTATACGTGGCATTTGCAACTCATTTTTTTTGTCTCATTCATTTGTTCTTCCTGCTGTATTGAGCTGACTGTGATGACGCTGACTCTGCTGAAATAGCCATTGTCATGCACTGCCATCTGCTGGCTAAATTTCTGAGCTACAGGTGCCAACATCGTCTTTGTGGTTGATCAGACGATGCTTCATTATCACCTGGACAATGTTTTATCAGACAGAATGATGTCACAGCTATACAGAGAACTTCATTGAATTCAGCTTGTGCACTGGGAGCCAAACAAAAGGTAAGGACTGGAAGGATGACTTAAAAAAGTAACAAGAAAGTAGAGAGAAGGCTGAAGGAGGTCAAAACAATTAATTTATGACTTTAAAAACCTTTGTTATACAATACTGTGTAAACGTTTTAAGCAATCACTCATTCCTTTATATTTTGCTAGGGAAATATGGGAAATACATGCAGGAGTTTACTGAAACTTGCAAACATAAATGGCTCTGGAGAGGCCATTGCATGAGTGATAGTGTTTCATTCTGTATTTGTCTATCCAGGTATGCTTTACTGTAGTGATGGGTTTGGGATCATTATCATGCTGAAAATGTATCCTGTTTCTTTGGGACTTACTTTGTGTCTGTAAAATACTACTTTACGCCTGTCAAAGTGCATTATCATTTTTTCTTTGTGTGTTCAGCTGAAGAAATTGGAACAAAACGTGTTTTTGCAACAGGCTGCAAGTAACAAACTTCCTAAAGATATAATTTAAAACAAACACAATACTGGTTCATCCCTTGAATTAAGTGATTTTTTTTATTGCTCGACTGATTCAAAGGTCAGTGTTAACTGGCTTAAAAAACAAACAAACAACAACAAAAAACATTCCTCTGAAAATAATTGGGCACAAGTACTGCATGATATAAAGCAGCCAGTGTCCAAAGAAGCCCTTTGAAAGACCTTCAGAAAGTCTGAACGTCAGGGTCCCTGTGCCTTCCCGGTCGGCTCAGTATGGCTACATATGTTTTTATTTTCATTTTTGTTCCTGCTCTCTCCCTTTCTCTCTTTCCCTCCTCCCTCTGCCTGGGCAGAGCTCACCTGTGGGCTCCCGCCCTTGGCCCACGCACCTGTGGCTCATCACCTGAGAGTGTTCCAGCTCCTTTATAAGATGGCAGCTCTGTGTTTCTCGTCACTGGACCGTTGCCGACCCTCATTCCCTGGACCAACCCCTGTGTTACCTGAGTGATCGAGTGTGCGAGGAGTGGAGTAAGCCATGGTGTTTTCTGTGGAGTGTGAAGAGGAGCGTGAGGAGTGGACGGAGTGTGTGTGGACTTTCAGCGTCTTTCCCCATTTGTGTGTGGACCCCCGGAGCCCGGCTTTCCCCTCACCTTTGTAAATAGATCATCTGGTGTTGCTGTAATAAAGACTCTTGTGTTTTCAAAACTTAGAGCCTGCGCGTGAGTCCGTTCAGTCCTGTTGTGACACTGAAGAACTATGGCTCAAGACCACTTTAAAAATTACAAGAAATTCTGGCCCCTTGGAAGAAAAATATGAATAAAATAAAGGGTGACTCGAGACTTTTGCACAGTATTATAGAAAAAAAAATGAAGATTACAACCCATCCATAACCTCTGGTGTTTTAGCTTTCAGGGTAATGGTTAAATAATGTACAGGAAATGTGCTGATTGCTTATTTTTGTTTGAGATGTGTTTTAACTGAAAACATTTTTTCCTCTATTAAAATGAAACGTTTGGTTTCAATTGGCAGTCCTTAAGAAAGCTTACAAAAGCTCTGATGAAGGCCATCAGAGGTGGCCTTCCTGAGATGGAATTTCATGGAACACTCATGGGATGGAATTCTAGTCATTCTTATGACAGCTATTGCACAGTTACAATGCAGGTTTAAATGTTGCAACTGAAACTTATTCTTCACTTCAGCAACAAGCAGATACGCACACAGCTGAACTAGGATCCTTTCATAGAGCAGGTTCTTAAAAAAAAAAAAGGTGAGTTTAGGGGAACTGCTTTATAATTACACTTAACTTCGATGCTGTAACATTGATAGCTGATGGTAGATATTTAAAGTGAGATTTTTGAGCTAGGAAATGTACTGTTTAACTTGAATAACTTATTTCTTTGTGGTATCTTTAAATCTCAGATGATGGGACAAGGAGATAGGGGCCATGCTCAGCCTAATGAGGGTAAGAACTTGATCTGTTATTGCACAAAAGAAAAGTAATATAGTGTTGAAGTTTATTTTGATCAGCTGTGACTTTGTTAACTGATCTTTCACGTAGAGCAACCACATGAAACGGCTGAAGATGGTGACGGGGTAGAGAGGTACAACTTCATTGAAAGTCCTGTGTATCTGTTTATAGCCATTATACCACGTTCAGCTGCAAGACCGCTGCAGCTTCACAACAACAACAATGATGATCACATCGATCTGGAATTTTTCTTCAACGTTCATTTTGAAATTGATGACAACAACGCTGATGCTGAAAATGACCACAATAACAGCGATATTGAACATGACCACAATTATGGTGATAATCAAAATGCTGACAGCAGCAACAATGAAGAAGAACGCAATGAAGGTCATCAAGATGAAAATGCCCTTGCTGCTGCTGAAGCTGACTATGAAG